TGATGTAATAAAAAAAATATAAAATTTTCAAATTAAAGAAAATAATGATAAAAAGTTGTATTAAATAATTAGTTTCGTGCAAATTCGCGAAATGATTTGATTGTCGATCACATGATCTGACAATACAAAACTTTGCAATACGATAGGTACATGCACAACATAATAAATATCATGACATTAAGCTATTAAACTACAATTCCATCAATCAGTTAAAATATTAAACTATTGTAGTCTACACACGATTATAATGTGAAACTAATTTTATAATACTTTTATATGCAAGTAATAAAGTAGGCATGTACGTAGCATGATATAATTAGAAATAAATTTGTACCCGAAAGTCCCAAGCCTTAACCCCTCACCCCAAAAAAATTCTACTAGCATTTTTGTCACCTTCAAAAAGAATTACCCATATAGATAGAACTATAAAAGGGGTGTCATCCGAAATGTCGATCATAGGCATCTACAACTGACAAAATGGTTGTTAGCATACATACACAAGTGTAGGGGTAGACCTCCCATAAAAAACGAACGAAAAATATACCTTAACCCATACAAAACATGTTTTGACAAAAGCAGTCACAAAAATGATTATGTAGAGAAGAGTAGCCTTGCTAGTTACACTAATATCAAATGTTTTATCCATAAACAAAAACATATTTATAGCGAGCTAACATCTCCGATACATAAATCTCCGGCTAGAACCTAGGAGAAATTTTTATTGCAAAGCAAAGGTAACGTGCTAATCCTTATATCAACAATATGATGTTTATTACTCGTACCCCAAGTTCAACAATGGTTACAAATACGTTGAAAAGTTCAATCCAACTATTTGATCTTCCAAACTATTAATTGAACACTGTTAGTTGTTCATACAAATATGTTGACAAGTTCAACCAACCGTTTGACCTTCTAACTAAACCTATTCAAGTTTCACTAAAGTTAAAAAAATGATATTCAAACAACTTGACTAAAAAATCACTAATTTCTGATTCATCGGAAATTGTATTCAAAATGTCGAAATCAATATTAAAAAAACACGTGCTCAATTGCAAGTACATATTTTTTTTTTTTGAATGTTAGCTCTGTTATGTTTATTATTGATAATAGAGTAAGATGCAAAATACATTAAAACTACCAAAACTATTAAAATGCTATTAAATTTCCTAAAATCAAACAATTTACTGGATCACATTTTGCTACTTTAGATCAAGGAAGAATAATCTAAAAATTACTTCTAAATTAATGCTATAAAATACAAAAAACATTAAAGAGTCACTAGACAAAAACCTAAATTTTCTCTACTATTAACTATTCACTGGAAATCAATATCAAAGAGAAAGTCAACAGCTATGGATTATTCACTAGAATATTGTGTTTCTTCATCTTTGAAAGGAAGAAAAAGAATTTTTTCTACATTTCTTCTTCTTCAAATAGGAGAGGAATAGTTTTAAAGATTAGCTTTATTAATATTATCTCATTTGTGAGTTTACCTAAAAAATTACTTATTCAAAGATTTGGTAAGACCTATAATTAGATGGATATCTTAAAACCTATAAATAATTAATGATTTAATTCCAAAGATAATATCAGTTTCAAGTATAGATTATTTATTAAAAAAGATATAACTTTTTCAAAGATAAATTAAGTCTTTAAAAAATCTTGCATTTTAATAATAGTTTTTAACTAATATTCTTACTACAAGTAAAAATAATGATTATTACTAATAATCTAGATAGCTATACTAAAAGAAAAGTGTATTAAAAGTCTTAATAAAAGTTTTCAATTTGTAATTCTACAAACTATATATTAAAAATAAAAAATATATTATTTAGAAAAAATCTTTTATATATTTTATTTGTTTTTGCAACCTATAAATCAATAGTGCAGTGGTTAGCACTCTATAGATTATATCAAAAGATTTGTAGATCAAATTTTTTATGAAGCAAAACCTCTGATAAGTAGAAAGTGATCTGATCTATTAATGTAATTGTAAATTAACTGATATTTTAAGTATAATTATAATTATCTAAATTAGATCAATTGAATTGTAATTACAAATCAATACTATATAAGATTATGATAAAGTTGATTATCTAAAATAAAGTAGAATTATTCTTGATATACAGTAACTGTATTATTATTTTTAATAATAAAAAGAGTAAACATTAAACTAATAGTATGTTGTTAAAGAATAAGTAATAAACAAATCAGTACCCAACTGAGAGATAGGTATGGTTCTTTCAAGTTAATACTTGGGTTTTTGTCAAGAATTTAACCATATAACTATATTAGATTTTACAAACTTAATTGTTAGAAGGTCTTGGTGGGAGATAAAACTATGAATTATACTAAAGAACTAAAAATTAGAGTCAGATAAAGAAAATTTGATAGTCTAATAACCAAACTACTTTTAATAAAATTGATCTGGAAACAATTAAGAAAGAATCATATGTGATATTATTGTTATATAATTTGTATTATAAGTAGTTATACTGTATAAGTGAATTGGGAAAAAAAAACTCTTTCCCATAACCAACCAGATTCTTAAAAATTTCTTTTTTTGGAAACTTTTAAGATGAAAGGCAAAGAAAGATGACAAGTTACAACAGAAGTTCCAGAGCTTCTAACAATCCTCCCACAATTACGGAGCACATCTTGAGATATGACAAAAGAGCCAGCAAAGAACTGGGCCTGGCTAGAACCCAACCATATATAAAGAAACCCATCATGACAGTAGCCAAGAAGTCTACACAATCAATGGCAACCACTTTCTCCAACAATGACCATCAACCCAACAACACAATCAACACAACCACATAACAAGAAACAATGCTACAAGAAAATCAATAACAAGAAATGGAACATCCATCTTAACAAAGCCAGGAATCAGAGGAATCAACCTCTTCATAGAGTGACATAGTAGAAACACAACTCAACACAACCAATGAACAGAGTGAGTAACAAGAAAAATATTACAGAAAAACTATTATTTAGAAACTACAAATAGCTTGAAACAACAGCCCAGATAAAAAGATGGAAACTGAAGAGGAAAGCAACTCTGAACAAAAATGGTTTACCATTTCCAAAGGCAAAAATAAAGAAATCAACAATCCTCAAGGCAGACCAAGACCCAAATTACCATTCGACAGAACAATCCAATACAGACAAGAATGATACAAGGTTGGCATCTCAGCAAAACTAGTCAAAGAAAAAACTATACACCAAAAACTAGAACATATTATTCTAGCCCTCAACTCTCCTGAAAGACTTCTGACAGTATGCAGCAAAGGAAAAAAAGAAGATATACAAATCATTGCCATCTTTGTAGATCAATATGCAGTGGAACATGACACAACCATGGAGCTCACAGAAATGAATAACAACAGACTGATGCACATGAAAACTGGTCGTCAACAAAGCAATAAAGGGAACTCCATAGTAGTGTAGAATATTTCCTTGAATATAAGATTCATAGAAGTCAAACAAGCCTTCATCAAATATGGTCAAATCCAAGGCATCACTATGACAACCCAAAACTTGTGGCCATGTGCCACAATTACTTTCAAAGACCAAGAACCCAAATACAAACTAATAAATGTCAGAAGTATTCTAATCAAAGGAAACTCAGTGAGAATCAACAATACAGAATGGACACTTCAACAAATGAAACAAAAACATGAGATAGTCACTAAACTAGCAAACCTCCCTCCCAATATATCAGCATGGGATATCAAAAACATTCTTATACAATGCAAGTGACATATATACTACATCCCAAGGGTAGCAAACAGGAGTTATAAACCTAAAAGATTTGCAGTCGTCAGCTTTGAAACACAAGAAGACCTTTTAGTAGCAGCACAAATACAATATCAATAAGAAGAAACAACCTTCTCATTCATTCCAATCTCAACAAAATAATGTGTAATATGTAATATACCTTCTCATCTAGCCAAAAACTGTCCCACCAAGGAAAGACACCTCCAATGGGACACTTACAATAAAAACCAGGCAACTAAATTCAGAGATCTTTATAATAAATTTAGACCAGAAACAAACTTCATCAATCCGTAATATCAACAAATAAAGAACACTCAAAATATCAAAAGCAGGAATATATGCAACAGCAGTTTTTTGAACAACTAAACAAAACAGGAGAACCCAACAATCCTCAAAGACATTGGTAATATCCTCAGAGAAATCCAGCAATAATTGAATACTATCAAACATCAAGTGACAGAACTGGATGAGTGTATTACCAACCTGGAATACTATGATGAAGAATACTATGAATCAATAGATAATAAACAAACACTGGTATCACAAGACTCAACACCCATATCACAATCCAACAGCACACAATTCACACCTGAAGATAGCTTTGAAGACCTCAGAAATATATAAACACAACTCTTCTCTTCCATTGACAAAATGCAAGACAAAATGAATCAAATTTTCACCACAATGGATGCTTTAACTCAGATCTCAACCAAGACTACCAACAATCAATAAATATGGGAAATAAACATAGCAATTCCAATGATAACAATGAACATGCGAATACAAACATGATATATAACCATCAAACTAACAATCCTAATAACCCTCCACTCAGAACACAACAACTCGCAACAAATCTATTATGGTCAGACTCAGACTCTACAACAGATAAAAACACTGATATACTATCATCAAAATTCCACGACAATCCTAAATCCCTATAAGGAAAATCAATTACAGCAATAAACAATACTATCACATCACATAAACAACATTCTAAACACACACCAAACTATTAAATCATAGGAAAAATCTGGAATATCTTCACAACAAATGTCAAAGGTCTCAAATTGAACTCAGAAAAACTACTTCTCTGGATAGAATGGATCAATAAACACAAATTGAGTATTCTCACATTCACAGAAACAAACCTCAATAATATGGAAGGAAAATTTATTCAATTTCACGACTACCAAATCATATGGAGTAACACAAGTAATCAAATGAAAGGGTTTGGAGTAGCACTATTAATTAAAAAAAACCTCGCCAAACACATTTACAAAAAGCATATATAGAAGGACAGAATCATCACAATAGACCTAATATTCAAATTCAAACGTAAACTTAGAATTATCACTATTTACCTCCCTACTCAAGCACACTAATCAAATCAAGAGTGCACCAAAGAAGTTCTTAAACTAATTAATGAAGCAAAAGTCTCAAATAGCCAAATGATAATACTAGGAAACTTTAACTCAGTTTCCAATCTCAACATAGATATGTTTAATTCAAAGTTTCCAAAGGCAAAGCAATACCTTTCAACAGAAAAGCTCATACAATGGTTATCAAACAACCAATTCATAGATAATTTTCAAAAAATCAATCCATATAGTATCCAATACATATGGAGCAATACAGAAGACACAGTCAGTAGAATCGATCAAATATGAATCTCTCCATCACCACTCTGGCTTCTCATAGAAGTACAAATATAAGAGATTGACAAAGAAGTGATAGAAACTGATCACAATGCAACCTATTGTAATATACAACATTGGAACACCAACCTTCCAGAATCAAACAGATATAGATCACAACCCAATATCAAATATAATTGACAAGACACACTGTAAAAGAAATGAAAAGATTTTAGAGAACACATATAATCCAAGCTTGAACAATCATGGGATAAACTTAATACCTCTCCAG